GAATCCTACTAAAGTTAATATCAAGATGTTAACTAATTGTCATCTTAGTAACACTCCCCAATATTAACATAGAGGAAGGAATAACTATTACTAAGACCAATATCAAGATGTTGACTAATTGTCATCTTAGCAACACTCCCCAACATTGATATAGAAATAGTATTTAAAGGAAGAATTAATATTCAAGGAAAGAAGTTAAGAAAATGACTCACAACTTTAATAATCAACAAGCTTCAAGAGCAATACCAAGAAATGGAAGTTTAGCTCCTCATTTGGAGACTAAACATGCTAAAAGAAATATAGAGAAATGCTATTCTAAACTGAGCTTAAGAGTATAAAGGAATTGGTCCTTATTGTGAAGGAAAGGAGGTGTATTTATAGGTTTTTTTGAGGTGCAGGTCGGGTACTCGATCGAGTATATACATATACTCGATCGAGTATGTGTAGAACTTTGAATTCGATCCATACTCGATCGATATTCGGGTATAATTCATAGCTATACCCGATCGAGTATGTCGGTGTACCCGATCGGGTATAGACACTCGATCGTGGTAAAATCTTCCCTGCATGTTCCTTTGTTTTCGGATCCGATTCGATTTGAAATTTCAACAAGATACTCGATCGAGTATAGGTAATACTCGACCGAGTATAGACCAAAATCGGGACCTTCCTTTTTGTCTTGTGATTTTGCACCTTCCTTCCACTTTTGGGGTTTACCAACTGTCCTTTGAGTGATGGTAGACCTGTTTGAGCTCAGAATAAACTAATCTAAATAATTTACAAGAATTTAACAAACTCAACTATTACACCGAAAGTGTGTAATTTCCGAAATACTAAACAACCAAAACTAACTAAAAACGTAAATAAACACACGGAAATTACAAACGTATCAATATCATCTCTTCTTCGAGAATCATTGTGACACCTTGGTGGTTGTTGACATAGTCCACAAGCGAATTGGTGACCGGCTTTGTTGACTTTGACGACAATAATTTATCACACAAACCACGAAAAGTCAAAACCTCAACTTGTATAATTAGTTCGATATATAGCCTCCATGAAAATGAATCACTCCCACTAATAAGCTCTACTATTGCCATTACCCGTATAAAACCAACAAATGGAAGCAATTTGGAAGCCATTCAAATCGAACGGCCGTATAAAGCGGGCTTGGCGGAGGAGAAAGTACCGGCGCTTTGGCGACGGAGAGAGGAGGGGCAGCTACGCCGCAGTTACGAGGCTTGGCTATTCCAAACGGCCGTCATGGGGGATAAGGGTGGCGGCGATGCCGAGGCTCCGGTGGAGGATTCTGTCGCCAGTTAGGCTATGGTCCAAGTTAAAGAATGCGTACATCAATATGATGCTTCATTTCGCGGGCGGGAATGCGTCTGATCAGAAAAGGTTGACCGACAAAAAGTCCGGTGGACGGCGGTCGTCTAGGACGCGGTACACCAAAACCGAGTTCGAGAACAGGCTGATATATGAGATTTACAAGTCGTTGGTGCCTTCCATGGAGTTGTACCCGATGTGATAGCTTCCTATATTATTTTATTAAACTACATATATCCTAACCATGAGAAGATATGTATTGATTCTTATTTATTTAATTTGTATTTACTTCAACTATCTAATTTTTTTTTCCAGTCATGTGTAATTTTTCTGGAGAAGAGGAAGTTCTATTTTTCAAATTATGGTACTTTTAAACTCATTTATCAAATTAAGGTATTTTTTTCTCATAATCATGACTATGTTTTGAACATGTAACAAATGACATTGTTGCCCACGTGTTCTCACCTTACTACAAAGACGAAAGATCGTGAGTTCAACTCCTGCTTGTGACTAATTTTTTACAGAGTATTACGTAAAACACACCTAAATTCGATGACATAGAAAAAGACTCTAATTTGGAAAATAGATTTAAAAGTATCATAGTTTAACAAATACGGAGTAACTTTTAAAAGTACCCTAATTTGGGAATAACTTGTGAGGAGTGGGATCTTTGAGTCCCATATTAGCCTTACCGCTGCAATTTGTTTTGGTTAGTTGGAACAAAAAAAATTGTTGACCAATTAATAACAATTTTCTCAAAATTTGGACTGGGAAGCTGAGATATGTTTAGGGAGCACTACAGGAATACAACATATTCATTTTTCAAAAAGGGACCTAATGTTTAAAATTTCATAAACATACCCTTATGGGGTTTGCTTGGAGCATTGTCGCCGCCGTCGTTGAGTACCGCTAGAAATTTTACACATCAGACCTGCACACCATCGTCGAACTAATGCCAGTCCTGTCGGCCCTCCTCCCGGATGGCCGCACCAATAGACTGCCCTGATTATGCTAGGGAGTTAGAGATATAGGTAATTATATTAAAGGTAGAAATGTGAAATTTAGTCCTATTTAAGGAAAAAATAAAATCAATCCAATTTTCCCAAAATCGATGACTATATTTTAATCTTATTAAGATCAATTTTATCACGTGTTTATATAATTTATAAATTTTATACTTTTAGAAAAATATTTTAAATAAGGAACATTTTAGCAGCAATGATTAAGGGTGGCTAACTAGCTTGTTAAGAGGTATTTTGACTCATTTATACACCTCGAAGTTGTCCAACTCGATTTGGCCTAGGCTGACGGAGTGTTTGGCCCTTCTAATTCATAGATAACACGTAATATCTAAGATCCGGAACTACTACTCCTATTAGGTTGATTTTTTTAGGATGGAATCGCGAGTCTTAAAAGTTTTCTAAGAATCCTAAACCGTGACACTCCCTTACTATCATGGTTGTAAATATTTTTAATTGTGATATTAATATTTTCATATTTAAATAAACTAATGTAAATAATGGTAGTCAAATTTAATACTTTTATTTTAAGTTTTAAAATGTTTTAAATTACTCCTATTTCAGGATATTTCTCTTTGGTAAAATACACACACATTGTTCATTAAATGAATTAGTTTATGATTCATTAGATGAATTGAATTAGTTTATGATCTGAAATTCTGAATAAATCTTTAGTATAAAGAACTTGAATTTCTTCCTAAATAGCTCCCGGAAAGTAATATTATACGAATTAGGAACATGCAATTCAGTATAGGCTATAAATAAGAACTTGCAAGTTGCAACCCACTACCGTATGCGGAGACGCGGAGTATAATATCTATAAAGGCTATTCTGAACTCGTCTCAATAATATACGGAATATAATACGTCAAGTCCCTCTCAATGATAAGCTTGTCTTCATCCCTATATAATCTATAAATTACGAATGTGGCTTCATGCCCACAACAAAATTGTCTTCCTCACTTCCTTGAGTTCCCTCATTCTATTTGGTACTTGTTATAGTTCAAGTCTTATTAAAATAGTATCTTCATAATCTCCAATATAATATACATCATGAGTAATCTATTTAGAATACAATACATTCTGAGTTTTATAATCACAAATTTCTTTTAAAATAAACGATGCATGTATTATATATCCCGTGTTTGGAATTTTGCAATTCGAAACATAATATATATGCACCTCATGTCTCATTTGTGCTTTCATGTTCCAATTACATACATGCATGTGTCTTCCTTTTGCATACAATTTTTTAAAATTGTAAAACCCACAACCTTTTTATGTATTTTCTTGTACATACCAATAATAATCACAATATATGCATACATATAGCGTGTTTATATATACTTTACTCCATCCGTTCCTGAATTGTCTCCCAAATTCCCTTCATCATCCATCTCAATTCAACTTTCATTTTCCCTTTTTGATAAGAAATTTGTGGTTCACAACATACTCACTATCTTAATTCATGTTTCATTTCTACTATGGAAATTTTATTAGGAACAGAGGGAGTAGTTTTTATTTGTTGTGCTATCATTTTTATCATATACTCCGTAATTATTATAGTGGTTTTTTTTGTATATCTATATTATTATATGACGGGTACTTTGTTGTTGGGGATTGATGCTGAGAGTTAACTATTGGGGTGGGAGGATTTGTACACACGAATGCGACCCTGAAGCAGCCTATATGCTATACCCTGATCACAAGGCAATTCCAAGGACTAACAGCATTTGTAAAAATTGTTGTCAAGCTAGAAAGGCCCGTTGTCAACTCTACCGCAGTTCCGCGATGATGATACTCTTATATGCTAATACCCCAAAATGTACCTCATTTTGTACCCACCCTTGAATTGTCTGTGCAGGCAATTCGTTTTAAAGAGGCAGGACTTTCTGTCCAATTGTCTGTGTATACAGACGGTGTACAGATTGGGGTACAAATTGGGGTATCCCAAACAGGACTCTTAAATAAACATTTTATTGTTATTCCAATTATAAAAGGTACCCCTTAATATATACGGATCGGAGTAGTTTACATATATGGAGTATATATTATAATAAGAGAAGACGATGTAATAATGCTTGAATTTTTAATATATTGTTCATTGATATGAGAAAGAAAAACGTGAACGCATATTCATCATGAATTGGTGACCACATAGGCTCCTGTTCGGATTCCCAAGAATTTATACGAAGTATCTTTTTTGTCAAAAAGAAATTATATTTTCACTTTAGAAATTTTCCCTTCTTCAATAAATCTTGAAAAAAAATAGATTATGTTTGGTAACACAGATTTTCACATTATTAGCCAACTTTTTTATCAAACACATAATTTTTTATTTCACGTGTTGAATTCACTAATAATCAAAATAAGTAAGATCAAAGTTACTTTCTAATTAGATTAATTGTTGTCACTCTAAAAAAGCATTTTAGCCGTTTTTTCATAATAAAGTTTTCTCAGCTCTTTATTTTACTGCTAAAATGTAACTTTAGTATACTATTAATTAAAATACTCTGTATATTTTAAATATTACTACCTCCGTCCCCCTAAGATTGGGACAAAGGAGAGTGGTGAGTTTTTAAAAATAGTATAATTATGTTGTTGGTAATGAATTGATAAATTGTGAATAAAATAAGAATGAATTAGAAGTACACAAATATTACCAAATATAGTATGAGACAAATTTAATGAGACAGACGAAAAAAGAAAAATTGACACTGATAGTGAGATGGAGGGAGTAATATAATAACTTTTTGTCATGAGCTAGTTTTTAGCACAAAATTATCGATCAAGTTGTGTTAAATTCGTGTCTATCCAATTATTTTTTTGGTGTATGGTGGTGCAACAATGATTAAAATGTTATCTTGGTATAAAATTTCACACCTGATGCATCTATGCTACTTTGTACTATACCTTTGTAATTATTATTTGAATGATATTCCTTGAGTCTCATTGAACTATGTCAATTTTTGTTTATCATAAAAAAAATTATCACTTTCTTTTTCAGGTAAATAATTTGAGATTGCGATTTTTCTCTCTCTCCTCATAACTATCAATGATACAATTTTACTTTTCTTATTTCATACCTAATACAAATTTGACAATGTCCAATGAGGTTGTGGTAATAATTAAATAATAAATCTTTGTAACGTCTAGCAATGGATGTAAATCCCAAACTATACTGTACACTTAGTTATACCAAGTGTGCGGGAGCAAGACGATGAAGTGAAGGCATTTATGTTCAGCAATGCTCGCTGATCTACTCATCTGTCCAGCTGAATCAGTTATTAAAAAAATAGCTTATTCTTTTGTTTCCCGAATTCAACTTTCTCCCTCTTTTACTCAAGAAACTCAATCTGAGAAGGCATCCTTTTGTTATCCAACAGCCTTTGTCTAGCTGCAATTGCCTGTTTGTTTAAGAAGCATACAACATTCATTTAACCTTATAACTCAATGGCTAAGCAAGTTGTGTTTAAAGACAAGAAATTCCGAGAATGAGTGACCTACTAGAAAATAAATTTATCAAAAAGTGTCAATCAATCCGGCAATAATGAGACTTTTGTTAGGCATTGTACTTCTTTGTACTTCAAAATGCAAGAAAATGGTGAAAAGCCTATGTTGCACCGAAACACAAAAATCATGAGGAAATGGGAAACGGGAAATGGGAAACGTCGACTTTTGCTCAAAAAAAGCTTATTTGGAGAGTTTTCAAAGAGTTTCCTAGAGTTTCCGAATCGGAAACGTACTCTTTCCCGAGAGTTTTCGTACTACATGGCCTACTTTTGAGACACCAAATTTAGACGTGCATGATAATCTTTGCATTACTTTCTTAGGAAACTGAAGGGAATGACTTGTGCGCCAGAAACTAGTTGTCAAGTACTAATGGTAGAAACAATCTAATAAGAAAAAAACTGTACAGACACTTTTTTTGTACACACTCTTATACACATGTTGGTGAGCAGACTAAAATAGCTTTCACCGAAGTGTGTATAAGAGTTTGCATAAAAAGTGTGTACAAGAAGCAAGGTTGATATAATAATTATCAGGCCAAAAGAGAAAAAATAGGGGTGAACACAAAACCTGTTTCCCCCAATCAGTGAAGGCTGTGATAAGAGAAAAGGCAGTGCACTGAACCAAAGCTCCAGCAACTAATCCACCCCACAGGCCCTGCCCTTTAAGGTGCAAAACAAAACCAAGCAGAAGCGCGGCAGGAACTCCAACCAAGTAATACGAACCAAGGTTAACATATGCCCCTATGCTTTGCCATCCAGTCCCTCTAGCAACCCCAGACAGTACTGCTTGTGTCCCATCCAAGAGGATAGAGAGGCACAGAAGAGGGACCATTTTTTTCACGTAACCGATCACTTCTTGCTCGTAAGTAAACACATGCCCCCACACACTACGGCAGCAAAAAATGGTTAAACTCGCCAGGATAACCTCTGTGGCTGATAAAACCAGGACTGCTATGAGGCTAACTCTTGCAGCCTCCGGTTTTCCACCTCCAAGAGCATTTGAAACTCGAACACTATATAAAACAAAAAAGGACTATTTAACAACGTTAGTAGTAAATTGTAAGTCTTTATATGAAATATGAATAGATCATGCCCGAGGTCAAACCTTGCAGCAGCGCCAAAAGAGTAAGGAATGTGGTAGTGAACCGAAGTGGTTGTGAGGCTGTTTCGAAAAGGTATATATAAAGGAAACTAACACTGTTAATGATAAATCATCTCACATTAAATAAGTATAAAAATTTATATAGACTAACATATAAAGTAATGCATAGAAAATGCATGAGTGTAATCATCATACCATATTGATAGAACAGATGTCTCAAGTTTTGGATTTGGGAGGATTCCAGATAACAATACAATCAGCTCAAATGACCACCACTCCAAACTAGCAATACATGGAAAAGAATAAAATCAAATCTGAAAACTTTCTTCTACCAATAAGTTATCCCATTTCTAGTTTTTATGCTCTTCTTGAATCATAACCTAATTTTGTTCTAGCTTCACATGCTTTGATACAATGGCAACCCTTGGAAGTCTGGAGTTCCCTAATGTCTTACATAGTACGGAGTATAAGTTAGTATTGAATAGTGATGCATTTCCCTAAAATAATCTCACAATTTCAGAGGTATCACATGTCATATCTAGATAATATTTACCAAGGATATTCTTGTAGAGAAATCTATTTTGAAGACATCATATGGATCTACAGAGGTCCTCCAATAACTATGAATAAAGATCTTGAGAACCATTTGCACAATTGCACACCAAGCACTTGAGCTATTAGAATCCAGAGCTTTTCAAGAGAAGTGTCACACATTCAATTACTTTATATAGCATAGACGCACTAAACTTACCAAAATACCAAGTCCTTTTCTACATTACCTAAGAATGTCTGTTAGCACACTCAAAATGCTTATAGTCACTTCAGTTTAGTAGGAGATTGTTTTTTCTAAATTTTGTATGAAGTATTAACATCGGAGAGTAAAATTTACCAGACCATTACAGCAGAAGGGATAGCAAACCGAAAGAAGTCCCCCATAGTCAGATATACATCCCTAGAGAAAGTGGCATGGCTTCTTTTACAGGTGGACGAGTTCTTCACATAGAACAAAATCAAAATCACATTCAACCAATAGGAAAGACCAATTGATAATGCAGCTCCAGCACTCCCCAAATTCAGTTTGAAGATAAAAGCATAACAAAGTGGCAGCTGGACGCATAGAGACGCAACAGCGCTATAGAGCATTGGAATGATCAAGCTCTGGGCCTGAAGATACCGAACCAAAGACTGGAGAATCGCGTAAGGGAACAGAGTAGGAATGAGCCATATGGCATACTTACCTGCCCCCGCTGCGATTGGAGGATCTTGACCGGTTAGTAACAACAATTTCTCTGTAAATAACCATAGGGCAGCCACTGGAATGCAGACTAGGAACAGACACAGAATGGCACCATAAGTAAATGTTCCTAGTTTTCGATATTGTCCCGCCCCATATGCCTGCCCACAAAGCGTCTCCAACGCACTAGACATTCCATACTGTTAGAAGTTAGAACGATAAGATGGTTAAGAATAAATCTGGGCTTAACTAAAACCAAAAGAGTTTTCTCTTAGGTCAACAAACCATATTTGTGAAGTCATTTAGCTACTCCTCTTATAAAGCTCCCATAAGATGGAAAGACATGTCTTGTTATGAAAACAGCATGCAGATTTCTAGAATAAGCATGTTAAGCCAAAACTATTTAGAAAAATGACAAGATACATAGATACAATCAGATGTCAAACAGGAGTTAATCCAATCGTATCCCTACATTTTAAAGATTTTAGGATGGAGTTGAATGAACGGGAAATTTCCCTAAATAGGAGTAAAAACGTTTGTGTATTCTAAAATATGACTGTCATGTTTTTATTCCCCAAAATGGCAGTACCAGACTTTAAACATGACAATATCTTCAAACTTGGCGGTAATTACTCATATTAAGGAATAAAAACATGACAGCCCTATTTTAGAATTCTCAAACGTTTTTACCCCTATTTCGGGAATTCTTCCTTGAATGAAACTAAAGTCTTATATTAATAGTGTTTTCTCCACCGGTAAAATATGAAATTAAATGAAACTTAATAGTGTCTTCTCCACCGGTAAAATATGAAATTGAATGAAACTTAATAGTGTTTACTCCTATTTCGGGAATTCTTCCTTGAATGAAACTTAATAGTGTTTTCTCCACCAGTAAAATATGAATTAATAAACTACTTCGTTTGTTTATATTAAGATCTTAGGCTGCTGTTATATAACCAGATCGAACTAAGAATTGCCCAGCATTTATACATACAAGAAGGCTGAAGCCGGTGACATTGCAGAGAGATGTGGCGATGGAAGCGCTGGACAGTGGAAGCTCTCCGAGGTAGCCTAGCATTAGCATTGGAGAAGTCCGCAACAGATATTGTGACACTGTCACTACAATCATCGGCAAAGCTATGCGATTCACCTCTTTCAACTCTCCGATGAACGCCTCCCGCCGCGCCGCCTTTATTCCACTGTCCGGCGCTGGGACTAGCGCCGTCTCTTCCTCCATCACTTGGCTTTTACCTGGTCTCTACCGGCCCCTGGGATAGTGCCTTATCTTTATTCTTTTCCCATCATCACAGGGTGGCTATTCTTGTAATATTTTATTCGTTTCGGGTAAGAGTCCCGATCGGAGTAAAGGCATCGCCATTATGACGTGGGACAGGATGATCAGCTAGCGATGGCGGCATTAGCTCTGTATGACTGTATGTAATCAAGAACAATAGTGCCGAATTTGTTGATTACCATGCAACTGAAACCAGCTCTGAGTTTTATCACTTAATCAGATTTCATTGAGATTGAAATTTGTCCATCCTCCATGCTCCATCCGTATAAATAAATAAAAGCAAAATTGTAAAAATATGAGTATAAAGTTTACATTCTCAAAAGAACAATTCTTGGTGTACACGTTCTTATACACTACACCTCCGTGTCTGTGTGAGGTTTTTTTATCCGTGAATTCCAGTTCACAGACAAAATCGGCTTGTTTTGTCTGTGAACTGGAAAATTCACAGACAACAAAATCATCTTACAGACACGGAGATGTACTGATATGTATAAGAACGTGTACCAAAGGAATTTGTATTCTCAAAATTGGACAAACTGCTAATTTGAAAGAAAAATGAGTTTTTAAAGCAAAGTTGGATATCTTTGAAGGGGCCGAGTAAAAAGGTCATGACATTTTCCCACAAGATAACATTTTTCATACGATCAAAGCGGGGGTGGAGGATGCGGTGGAAGAGGTCTACATATTTTTTACGGAATACGAAGTAATATTTTAGGAATTTTTCATTTTTTATTTTTTTATTTCATTATTTTTTGTTTATTTTTACTTTATTTTAGTTTTTCCCATTTTTTGTTTTTTTTTGCTCGGGTTATCCAGATATGGTCCTAAGTTTTTCACATATGTTAGAAGTATCCCAATTTGTACTTCATTTTGTTCTCACTTCCTAGTTGTCTGTGCACACAAGCAATTCATTTGGAAAAAGACAAAATTTTATGTCCAAATGCCCATGTACATGAGTACCATACATATTGGGGTACAAATTGGGGTACACCAAGCATTCTTAGGGTCTGTTTGCAACAGCTTCTGCTTTTAAAAAAGTGCTTTTTTTAATGAAATGGGGAGAAGTGATTAAATAAAAGTTTATAGTGTTTGAGAAAAAAGTGATTTTGAAAAGTAAAAGTGGGTAGTGTTTGGTAAAATAAGTGCTTTTTGTGTAATAGAAAAAGTAAAAGCACTTTTGACGCGGAAACCGAGAAAAATAAAAGTTGTAGTGTTTGGGAAAATAAGTGCTTTTTTAAAGCCAAAAGCTGAGAAGTGCTTTTTTAGAAGCAGTTGCAAACCAACCCTAACCAAGCATTCTTAGGGAGTGTTTGCAATTGCTTAAAAAAAAGCACTTCTCAGCTTTTGGCTTTAAAAAGCACTTATTTACCAAACACTACCAATTTTTACTTTTTCTCGGCTTGCGTGTGAAAAGTGCTTTTCCCTTTTCTATTATACAAAAAGCACTTATTTTACCAAACACTACCAACTTTTACTTTTCAAAATCACTTTTTTCTCAAACACTATCAACTTTTACTACCAATCACTTTTTCCTTACTTTTCCAAAAGTGCTTTTTTTTAAGCAGAAGCAGTTGCAAACACTCCCTTAACCAAATCAGTCCGGTCGGTCATTTTGGTTTTTTAACCGTAGGCATGAAGTTGACTAGGTTGAAACCATGGTCTTAAACCAAAAAGCTACGTAGTAATAGTGTAATACAGACTCAAGATTGTTTACTTTCTATTAATGGTCTTAATGAAAATAGAGTTAATCGTTTGAAACAATAACACTCATCCCTTACTTCTAGCCTTCTAGCTTTCAGGTTGAAAGTGATCATTTTAAATAGCATTACATAGTCACATGTTTGAAAAAATACTTGCACCGGGGCATGGGAGAAATTACCATACCGGAACTTTAAGCATCCGAATTAAAAAAAAAAAAGCACTTTTTGAGATGTAAGGAAAAAGTGATTAGTAGTAAAAGTTGATAGTGTTTGAGAAAAAAGTGATTTTGAAAAGTAAAAGTTGGTACTGTTTGGTAAAATAAGTGCTTTTTGTGTAATAGAAAAGAGAAAAACATTTTTCACACGCAAGCCGAGAAAAAGTAAAAATTGGTAGTGTTTGGTAGATAAATGCTTTTTTAAGCCAAAAGTTAAGAAATACTTTTTTAAGCGGTTACCTGCATATATAACTTTCTTGGAGCATCAAAAGGCCACGAGCTTACCTACATATATACTTCGTTGGATCCTTTCTATAGGCCAGTACGGCAGTACCCTAAATCGCTACGATTAGGAAACTTGGCATGACTCCAGTGGAGAAAAAAGTCAAACGGGCACTACGGATTAGGGTTCTATTATGTAGAGCTTGTACTCGGATTCAATAGGAGAAAAAAAAATACTATCGTAGGAGATTTGGCTTGACTCAATAGGAGAAAAAAGCCATGGGGTGTTTGGTCGGGTACATCTGCGGAAGTGCCTTTCATCCACCCCTCCCATCCAAACACTTTTTGTCAAGTATTCCTAGATTATGCTGGGCACTTCTATAATCGAATAATTATTATCTTCATCCACACCACATAAGTGATCAATAATCTTCCTTTAAATCGTTGTGAATCAACACCTAACTTTAGGTTAATCAAATGTACATTAAACTCATTCAAATATAACTCACTGAAATGTAAATTACTTATATCGAAAAGCATTACGTAGTACATAACTTGGAACCAAATCAGATATAACTTGGAAAATAATGTAAATTTAGCTTATTGAAATATAAAACTCTTTACAGATATTCAACTTGACAAATTAAATTGAAGATTTCTAATGTGACACACACACTGAAAAAAATGGCATTAGGTTTAATTATATGATATTAAGTACAACTTGCATTCCCGTGATTCTTTCCACAAGATCAAAGAATAGGCCAAGACTTGTTTTACAAGCAGGAACACATCGTAAGAGTTCTTCCCCTGATATCGAAGCTTTCTCTTCAGGCTTCATACGCTTTTCCAAGGCTCCAAATCCAATCTGCTAGGGGATGAACCGTGAACGGCGTGCTTCGACAGTTGGGAAGGAAGAAGGTGATTAATTTTAATTAAAAAGGCGCCGTTTAAGGATCGGCACATCGTGCGCACGGTGTGTCGATCCCACCGTATAATTTGTGTTGTCTAACCTTTTCTTATTTATAGAAATACTAGTTATATGATGCGCTTTGCGCGATGAGAAAATGCTCAATTGATTGTTGTAGCTATAATAATATTAGAATATGTTGATAGATTACACAAGGGAAACATTGAGTAGTTATATACAAGTATTATTTAAAATTTACAAAGATGCATACAAAATTGTTGATGCAATACCAAAGGCAAAATTAGCCACTCATGTACCGTAGGTACGGTCACGCCCGGCTCCAACCCCCGACCTGGTGGTCCTGTAAAAAAGCATAGTACAAAAGCATAGTACAACAGGAAGTTCAAATATAATCAAAGTAGAAAAGCAAATGAGTATGTCAGCAGGGGCGGACGTACGTCTAAAACAATGGGGGCACATGCCCCCAATAAAATTTGACTTTTCTTTACTTTTAATGTTAAATTGTATTTTAATAATAATAAAAAATGTTAAGTGCCCTCAATGAAAAATATAAGTGCCCCCATTAACTTTTTTCTTCACAAGGAAAAATGGTAATGATTAAAATGCAAGGACTATGCAGCTATGCTCTTTGTTATACGGACCAAGTTGATTTATTTTAACTAAATTTCGTTTTTATTAACTTAATTGAACTATAACACTTATTATACTATTTGGAATATACGTATTTGAATATTATAATTTACATTAATTACTCTTTAACATGAAAACATTTGCTAGAAAAAATTATTGAAATAATGTGGATAAGTTAGATATCGTCAACTATCATAATTTGATAGATTACCTAATATCATCAGCTATCTATCAGCTATTATGACTTTAAAAAATATATCATATCATTTACCATTTACTTAAAAAAAACACAAAACATCATTATTCTTTCATGATATTTCATACGTAACATTCAGGAAGAATTCTCATTTTATTTGATTTTCTATTCCGAATTCAATTTTGTTTCAAGTGTAAGTACTATCAACATCAACCTAAGTTTGGTATATGCTTGATAGTTTGATTATTAAGAAAAGCAAAAATTATGTAGATGATTTTTAATTGATAAAGTAAAAATAAAGTATGAATAATTTAAAATCAATCAAATATTATCATATTTAATATGAGATAATCTTAATGGGACATACTAAAATTCGAAAATGAGACAATTTAATTAGTATGGAAGCAGTAATGTACTGCGTAAAAGAGGAGTTTTGTGCATATGAAAATTCAAAATAGTAACATGTGTCATCAATTAAGGTTTGTTTTTAATTAAATACAATTAGAATGATAAAACTGCCGCACACAACCATAAGGAAAAGTGCTCAATTTTTAATTGATCTATTTAATTTTAGTACATATTAAGCATTAGCGTTTGTTACCGGGTACGATAACTACTCTCTGCATCTGTTAAAATTTTGTCAATTTTCCTTTTTTGGTTGTCTCCACTAACATTGTAGCTTTCCTTTTTAAGTAAATAATTTATGGTTCCAGTTAATTATCTCTCCTTTATACAAATCTCAATGACATAGTTTTTATTTTACTAATCTCATAACAGTCAAACTTGACAAAGGTTTTTGGGACAGATGGAGTATTATATTAGAAAATCACATGTTTTAAATTTGATGTACTGTATATAAGATCGATGATGCCCCCAATAACAAGTTTTTCTGGATCCGACCCTGTATGTCAGTAGAACACCATCATTTTTGTGGGAAAAATGCTTCAAGGTGCGTTTCCACTTAAACGGGTTAGAGGAAGATCATAATGAGTGCTTAGAGTTTTAAATAACATATTCCCTGTCGCTTTTGTCATCTAATAAGCTCTTTTGAAAAGTGATGATTCAATTAGAATTAATCATTGACTTCTAAAATAGATTTAGACTTCATAGATCCTTCCATTTTCCTAGCTTTATGGCCACTATGAAGAGATTAATATATCTCAATAGTTAATATACTTTAACACCTTTTCTTGAAGTATTTGTTACCTTCTCAGCCTTATGTCATCTTTCTTTCTCCCTTACCTTTTCCCACAATTTAGAGCAGTGGTATAGGATGAATAGGATAAACATAGGAAAAAATCAAGACAGCTATTTGTAGAACGTAACATAGGCTACAAAAGTGTATCATTGTGTGTCACCATTTGATTTCCGAGTAGAAAAAAAACACGTAAACTTACCAAGTCACACTCCATGAT